ATCAATTTCATAATTAATTAACCAATTAAAAATTATACAAAATCTATTTCATAATTAATTAAATAAAAACGATCCAGCACCTCACCACAAAGTGACACGTGAAAACGCGATACTTACAAAAATAAATAAATTAATAAAAACGACATTACACGTACCGATCATCCAAAATTCGAAAACAACCAAGGAAACATTCGGTGTAGTTATAAGTAATTTTCATTTTGGAAAACTAATTCAAGTTAAACAATAAATCGATTCCATTTCTTAAAAAAAAGGTATACAGTTAATTTGACATAGCGTTAGTAATCCCCATTGACATCCAGAACCTTTTGTCAAAATACCTCCATTGCAATGGCCTGGCAGTAAAAATCAGTAATCATGCACGCAAAGAGATCCGTGAGTGCCTGTCGCACATTTGCCTCATCTGCAAAGGATTTCACACGAAGGTGGTTGGGAATGAAAGAGGTGGATATCTGTTGGGAGTAAGATGGGTGGCATAGTGTCTCCCAAGCAGTTGGCCGTATGGTATCCCTGACAACCGAGCCACATGAAGCTCGGTTGTCATTTTGGAACAGTGCACTCTGGCCACTGACCATTGCTAGTTACTTCTGTTTCAGTGTCAGTTGCACACGTTCCAAGTGCTGCGGGTACAGGGCTGCAGTGATCATTAAGACCGCCGAGTAGCAGCGCATAGTGCACCACGGTCGACCAGTCTACCAGAGAGTCAGTCAGTCGTTCACTTGAACCGACTGCTTGGTTTGAACTCTTCCTACGGGTGGAGGAACCCGAAGGAGGCTACGCTGAAGGGCGGAGTCTCCTCTGGGAGGTAAACCGGCCCTGAACCTGTTTATACGGGTTCAAATACAGCACCGGAGCCTAATGGCTCTGAAATGCCCACGTTAAAAGGCCTTGTGCCATGACGCCTCGGGGGGCTATGACTAAATATAGTCTACCAGATACAGAGCACGATCTTCCGTGGGTGTAGAGGTGGATCATTCGGTGAGGCACAGGGTCTCGTGATGACAACCAATGTCTTGTACGATTGGGAATGTCACTACGGCAATTTGATCAAATATGGCTACGTTGTGGTAACGAGAAAGCAACGAGGCTGTCATTCGTTATTGCTTGTTGAATTCCGAACCACTTGCTTAACTGGTAAGTCTTCCCTATGCGATGCGGTGCACGTGAAATCCGACTGTTCCACCAGAAACATGGAAGTGTTCGGCAAGCTCACCACAGATCTGGCAGTTGTTCTCCTCTACGGCCGCCTTCATGACCTCATCATCCGGGAGTTGTGGTCGGCCAATGCGGGGTTCATCACAAAGGGACAGATCTCCCGACTATTGGTTGAAGATCAAAGATAACTGAGAAACTAGAAGCTGGAAGAGAGATCCACAAGCGATAAGTGCGATAGAGGAAACTCTCAGCATAGAACTTAAGGTTACATCTAGCCATTTTAGCTCTGAGCTAATGAGACCTTACCACCAATCTAATACTGCGCTTAAGTTCATAAAGTGTAAGTACCATAGAGGAAAGTTCGTTAGAATAATTACCATGAAATATTTATAGAGAAGTGGCAGTGAAGCTACGTTATGGCGTTGGGAAAGTGACTGAAGCCGAGATGCCAGGTAAAGACCCATAACATTGCAGATTCTTCTTTAATAGAGAAGTGGGAGTGAAGCTACGTTATGGCGTTGGGAAAGTGACTGAAGCCGAGATGCCAGGTAAAGACCCATAAAATTGCAGATTCTTCTTTAGATTTTATCAACTATCTCTAAATATATAGCAGGAGCACCGGACCCGATGTGGCATGGACGAATGGTATACTTTATAACAGAATACTATTACAAGTGTTCAATTTTATCATCATTCATTGTTAATCGCATAGTGTTAAATTTATAAATCAACACTCATTATAATAAATGTATAGGAAAAATATACAAATTTACTTAAAATTTAACGGAAGTTCTTTATTCAAGATTGTTATTTTTGAAAGTTTTAGAACTTTTTTTTTTTTATATCCGGGGAAAATTTTAGCATTTATTGTCCAATGACATTTGTCTGCTTTTAGGCGTCATGAGCTTTTCTCCAAGAGAATTTCTGCGTGTTGGTGGGGAAGCGGTTACGCATATATTGCATTGCATCAATTATTTCTCTTTGGGCTTATCTGTTTTATCGTGCAAAAAATAAAGTAGAATTATATTTTATTTAATTACATATCCAACATTATTTGCCGTGACTTTTTGCCATTTATCGAGCAGTTGTTTAATACATTCGATTTGAATTTTGCATTCCCTTCTACACGCAAACGCACGCACGCACACTCACACACACATTAATCTTGACCCCCAACAACCCAACACCACTTTCGGCTTAAGGCCACATCACGTTGAAACACAGGACCGCGTACAATCACCGAAATTAAGCAACGTCGAGCCTGGTCAGTAATTACATGCGTAACTGCTTGAGAATACTACCTACTGTAAAGTGGATAAAACGTCAAACCTGGTCATTACCTAGGTGCTATAAACTTCGTCGTCCCGGCGATCTTGATCATTACATGGGATGAGTAAGCGCTTGGGAATACTTGGTACTATAAACTTGGACGTGTCGTCGATTCTGGTCATTACCTTGATGGGTAACCGCTTGTGAATACTTGGTACTATAAACTTGGACGTGCCTTCGACCCTGGTCATTACCAAGATGGGTAAACGTTTGGGAATACGTTTGTGCGATAAACTTGGGCGTGCCGTCGATCCTGATCATTACATGGGATGGGTAACCGCTTGGGAATACTCGGTACTATAAACTTGGACGTACCGTCGATCCTGGTCATTACCTAGACGGGTAACCGCTTGTGAATACTCGGTACTATAAACTTGGACGTGTCGTCGATTCTGGTCATTACCTTGATGGGTAACTGCTTGGGTGTACGATACGAATCTACCCATGAGACAGTCTAGACTACGGAAATATTTTCATTAAATAAATATTTTTTTTTATTCGGAATTCTTTTTTCTACATATTGTTTTAATAAATCGTTCATTTTATTCTTAATATGCTCATATCAAAATATGTTTTACACTTTTTGATTTTTAAATATTTATTACCGATACACAACGCTTGATTGATTAAAAAAAAACTAATAAAAAGCTAAACAAATTTCAAAAGTACGTTTAACACTCCGCGAAAGTTTATGTTAGAAACTTTGCATCAACTTGCATCACAATATGCCAATGTTAGGAATTGACCATTGATTTATCTTTTACGACTTATCGACCTTTTGCGGGTTATTTAATACAAGAAAATATTTTTACATTGTAAGAAGTTATTTTTCCAGATAATAATGATTTACTGATATTAACTCATTAACTCATGGCTGGTAGGAAATAATGAATGCATTCATACCTTTGCCAAATTTGTTTGCGCATAAGGGAATATAAATAACCCGACTGGAATTTGAACTCGTCTCTCCAGCTCCCAATTCCGTGCCGTTATCCATTTCACCACCCGCACATCCAAACTAACATCAACTGGTACTTTCAAGCAGTCAACTGATCAGACTCGACGTTGCTCAACTTCACTGAACGTAGGTGAACCAGTGTTTCAAAATGATACGGCCTTAAGCCCTTTGTATTGACAAACGTTCGCACTAAAATATATGTGTTTGCCTGTGTGGGTATATAAACTCTAATGTTACCGATTAGTTTAGTTTGATATCTTTTTTTTAAAAAACTAATCATCTGTTTCTTGATGATATCAAATAACACTGCCCTTCAAAAATGTAATAATTACCGCATATTGAACTGGTCGCTATAATTTCTTTCTTTCTCTTTTACTTACTTTATTATTATTATTTTT